CTCCAATGATTATATCAGGCTAAGGTCATAAACGAAATGGACAATATTGTTTTACTCCTTCGGAAGCTCTCCTATAGAGGGTCAAAATTTTGAATAATAATTAAACAAGTCAAAATATATTTGAATTCGAGGATAAAGGCTGAGGGCATCAATATGCCGGCAATACCGTCTCATACACTTTAACTTGTTTAATATCAGGTTCATCGTTGGCATCCAGGATGATCGCCCTAGAGCAGTATATAAAAATATCAACTCCATCCAAACTTTATATTTTTTGTGGAACACCTACTTCTTTCTGTTGCCATGGCAAATCCCGCATATTGTAACAACGTAAAAACAGAAATCAGTCATTTATTTAATTCTTATCGATACGTAGGTATCTTCACTACGACGAAGACAATTTCCCATTCATTTTCACCCTTCTTCTTTTTGCGCCGTGTTGTTGTCTCCGAATTAATTGATATCTTTTCGATTTTACAAATTCAATTATAATTACCCAAAAAAAACGGCAAACATAAATATGACATTCGACAGTTATCAGTCAATGTAGTTCAGGGGGACCCAAAGGAAATGGTACAGCAACAACAAACAACAACAATATCAGCGACTAATTATGACAAACCAGCCAGCCCACCAAACGATCAATGGATGTTTCTTTGGCGCTTAAAAGCAAATCAAAAATAGAAGAAGCAGACACCCAAAACAAAGGAGGCACGCGTCAAAGTTATGAATTTGCAGAACCAACAAAGAAACAAAAAAAAATTGAGAATGCCTTCAAGAACAGTAGCAAAACATATGACAGCGATAAAAAAATCAGAAAACAAATCGAAAACCAATTGGAATTTAAGAATGGGACAAAGTGTAAGACCTGCCGACAAAAAAAGTAAGGCGAATAAATTACGAGAATATGGTCTGGGACTGTTTGGTGGTACAGTAAATGGCGAAAATGTTGGTATGGATGGCTTAATTGACAAAAATAAATAAAAAAAAATTAAAAAAAAAAATTAATTAAAAAAAAAAATAAAAATTCATTAAAAAAAATTATATTAATTAAAAAAATTAAATTAATTAATTAAAAAAAAATTAATTGACAAAAATTAATAAAAAAAATAAAACACATAAGTAAATATATCGACCAATCAGTCCAATAAGTCAATATACTACCGAATCGAAGTACTTCTTTAATTTCAGATTACTAACAATTTTTATTGAATTTTCATGAGAATTCTGAAATATATAAATATGCAATAGGGTTAAATTTTTTATGCTCTACAAAGTGTATATATTTTAGATGAGCATAAAATTAGATTTAGCGTTGTGGGTCTGTGTGTCCGTCGGTAGCAATCACAACCATCTCTGTGTGTATTTTGTCATTAGGCAGATCATGTCGGTCCATGTTTTCGTTAAGCTTCCATATAAAGGAACCTCCAAATTTTCAATATTTTGACTGGTTTAGGCCACATTTTGCAAGTGATTTCTATAGTACCCTCAAAATGGTTACTCCTGATATTCGGTACTATGACACGCCACATTTTCTAGCGAATTTATTTAAAATTCGATACTTGTAGTTCGTAAAGGGTTCTATATCCCGATGGCAGGTGACAGTGCCCACCATTTTGAAAATTGATTATTGATAGGTTTACGTTTTAAACTTCAATAATAATACCGCCCACTTTATGGCATTCCGAATAGTTTTATTTTGAAAGGGTTTCTCATGGTAGAAGGAACCACAAGTTCGGTCCGGGCGAGCTTAACGCTTTTTTACTTCGTTGTTGTATGTTTTTCAAATATTGACTGCGAGTTAGTTTGCCATTATTGCCCATCTTCGAACGCGAACCATGTTTCGGATAATCATTTTTTCCGTGGAAACTTTCAAATACCAACTTTGTATCGATTTCTATTAAATTTGACGGAGATGTTTTAACCTCTCGTGACAAATGTCATTGCTATATCGTGTATGATATGACTTCGAGAATGATTTTATTAAATAATATAAATCGGAGCAATAAATATATTGGTACCGAGATTCACCAAATGGAAAAATTCTATATCTTAGCTATATAGCTATGTCTTAAATTCTGATTTGAAGTACTTTCTTCTGACTGAATATGGCACACAATAAAATTGAAATCGGACAAAAATATATATGGGAGCTATAACTAAATCTGAACCGATACACATCAAAATTGCCGCACGTACTTCTGGACTGAACCTGGCCGTGTGGGCTCATTTGATTCGGACTGATTTTACTATTTCGTACCCAATACTTATTAAGTCGGACAACAAAATCTGATCCGACTATCACCAACTTCAATAGGCCATGGGCCTAACAAACGATTTGTGTAAAATTTCACCTATGATTAACTAAATACATGGGCAGACGGACGAACATGCATAAATCGACTCAGAATGTGATTCTTCTGCATGTTACAAAAAGTGCACAAAGACATAATACTTTGTACCACAGCGCCGCGTAGGGAAGAAACCTGACGCATTTGGGGCACCCAAAGTCCGATACACCCAAAACGAGTTACTGTTTGGTGCGGATTTTGGTCTAGAGTCACAATGGCGCCACATTTTTCGGAAAATGAGCAAGGGGTGTGGCTTTTGCGTTATCGAGGCATGTTGAACTATTTTTTTTTTACAAAATTTGAAGAGGAAGGTATTGGCAATATTTGTTTCAAACGTGCCTTACAGCCGTAGATACACTCGATGTTTTGTGCCTAGTTTTTGAAGATCGCATTATCAGCCGCAGGCCTGATGTCGGTTGGCCAACTCGGAGCTTTGATTTGACCTCGCTGGATTATTACTTGTGGGTTGCCGTCAAAGATAAGAGTTACGTCGACAAGCTAGAGACAACCGATTCAACTGAAAATATTCGTATATGAATTGGTGAAATTTTAGAAAAAGTTTTCATTTGTTCGAGTTGGTCACCTTTGGCACGAATTATAATCTTCAAACGGTCAATGAAACCGTCACACGCTGCCCGAATTTTGCTCTGTGGTACTTTTTCCTATTCCCGGCGAAGCGCTTGCTTGAGGTAATCTAAACTTTGGTATTTTTTGGTGCCAACCTTGCTTTCCAAAATACTTCAGACACAAGAGTCCAACGGATTGTTATCCGGAGATTTTGGTGGGCATTGTACGCTGGAAATGAAACGAGGAACCTCATTTTGTAACCATTTTTGGGTGGCGCGTGCTGAGTGTGATGGTGCTGAGTCCTGTTGGAATGTCCAAGGTGTGCCAAAATGTTTGCGTGCCCAAGGCTTTAATACACACTGCAGAATATTTTCGCGATAATATTCGGCATTTATTCTGATGCCACGGTCGATTAATACGAGCAGAGAACGACCATCGGCTGTTATGGCGAACACACCATCACCATGGCCGGTGCTTGACTTCTGGTGGCCAACCGAAGATGCACATTTTCAGCTGACCTCTTTGGCAAGTAAACATGATTACTTTGTTTGTTTTCAAACTGCTGGACAACGCATGTTTTCTCATCGGAGAAAACCAAATTCGGCAGTTCACCATTTTCGGCCAAGCGAAGCAATTCTTTGGCTCTTTTAAGTCTATTTTCTTTCTGTTGCGGTGTAAGTTGTTGCACTTTTTGGAATTTCAATAGCTTTACCCCGAGCTCCATTCATTTTTCAATATTTGACGAATGGAATATTGCGATATATTCAGCTCACGAGCCATTTTTCGGCCACTGCGACTCGAATCGAATACAGCGATCTTGTCGCTACTTTACTTTTCGAACCATTTCTTCTAATGTTGCTGTTTTCTTCCGTCCACTTCCTTGACGTCGGGCTACGCTACACAAAAGATTTATTCACCTTTATATGCTAGAAAATTTATATTTAAAATTTATATCTGGAAAATTCTCACGAAAATTCTATACGAAGACGTGGACCTGTACAGACAATTTTCTGCCATAGGCTGTAGTATTCATTACGAACTTTAAATATCAAATTTGAAACAATTCCGGTGAATAATGTCGCCCAAATCATCAAAATACCGAATATCGGGAGGTACCGTTATATGGGGGCCAATTACGAACTTAACCTGCCACCTGAAAAAAAACATGTGTGCAAAATTTGAGCCTTCTATCTCCATTCGTTCGAAAGATAGTGTGATTACAATAGACAGACGGACATCGCTAAATCGATTTATAATTTTACGTTGATCAAGAATATATACTTTGTTGGGTCTGACAAGAGTTTTCGAGGAGTTACAAACGGAATAACAAACTTAATATACCCTCCTTTAGGGTGGAGGGTATAAGAATTATAGTGGATAATCAATGTCCGATTTTCTTCAAAATGTACACATCCTATTCTTTTTTAATTTGGAGATAGTATAGTGGAATATATAGGTCGCCTTTTCCATACCTCCCCAAGAAAAGTTCAGAAACATTGAAAAAATCATATATTTCATATAAAACTCGAGTACTCGATACAGTGCAAATTTATATAAAACTTAGTTCAGTACATCTTCCCATTCTCCTATCCACCTGTTCTCTTCAATCTTCGCTCATTGCAGTATTAGATTTAATGGTACATTCTCTCAAAAAAACGTATACATTTTTTCACATTCTAACACTAATGATAAAAATCGTTTATAATTATAAACTGCTGTTATAATTTCCTGTCTGAACACTGTATGTCACATTCAAACCTTGTGCCAATCTCACGGTCATTACAATAACACATTCCTAACATTTCTACCGGACTACTACTACTGCTGCCTCTCCTGATGACTTCTGGTCGTCCAACAGCAGCAACAACAACAAACAAACCTTGTATCCATTTTTCGGTAAACATTGAACAGTGAACACTTTGACAGCTATCGGTCAAATGACAATTCATTTTTTTTCTTCAAATACCGTTAGATAGCAAAAACAAAAGAGAGGTCTCCCAAAGAGTAAACATGCGCAATTATCCAGTTAAGAGAAAATTGGCAAAGCGCTCCGTCGTACTGCAGCCGCTGAGAGTAATGGGAGAAGAAGCAAAAAAGGGTACCACAGATATGAAGAAAATCACTTTTCTAGGGGAACCAACCAACCGACCAACGAAGAAAATTCTGTATTTTGTAAAATTTAGGTGCTTCTGTAATTTTCTGATAAACGGACGTGTTTTCATATCGCGGCCGTGTTTCGAGTGTTTTTTGAAGAAAAAGCAAAAAAAAAATTGGATGGAAATTTATTTGAAGTTCTGATTTTAAAGAAAAGAAAATAAGAAAAATAGAAAATTATAATAATAACAAAATAGCCGATAAATTAGATAAACAAAATAAAGTGAAAAGTTTGTGAAGAGGAAACAAACCAAGTTTTGCATTTCGAAAAAAAAAATAGAAAATAGAAAATAAATCTGAAATAGTTTTGTGGGCAATTATGAAGATATTATGCGATTTTGTGTGGCAAAAGCGTAACCATAGCCCCAGTGTCTAGTGAGCAAAGAAACCTTTTAAGTGTTAAGCGTTTTTTTTTTATGTCCATAGGAAAATTTATAAAAAATAATTAAATATTAGAAGAAAAAGCTAAAGCTAGTGAAAATATCTCTAAAATAAAATTCGAATGAAATTAAACTCCGGTAATTTTTGTGCTACTCCACCCACACACAAACACACAGCCCACCAAAGTTTGCATTCTAATTAAAATTCCAAAAAAGAAATCTGGGCAAATGTCAATATCGAATATTTCCAATTAGTCAGAATCTCTAAAAACGGGATTCGTTCCTAAGTAACCAGACTGGCCCACCCTTGAAAGATTAACTTGCCTAGAAATCGAAACCAATCAATCTTCGATGAACCTCGCGGGGCTTTTCCTCGAAATCGATGAATAATTGTCAACTTAATTGACACAGTTATGGACAAAGAACAATATTCTGTTACATCAACAGCAGCAACAACAACAAAACCACTGCCACAACAAGCTAGCCAAAGCAGTTCAGCCGCAGTTCATCACAGGAGGAGTAAAAGACCCAGTTAACTGGTTTACCCACAAACTATACCAGGGGGTAATCGGAGGAGAGCAAGGCAAGCTATCACAGGCCAGAACAACAAGACAAAAGCCTGCCAACCAGTAAATATAACTTTTTGCCAACAGAAAAACAGAAAAAGACCTAAATATAGGCCTTCATCCAAAAGGGGTCATACTTAGAGGGTGGTTGGCTTTCCATGACACACATACAGCCTCACACAACACTCAAAATAGTCACAAAAAAATATATTGTGAACCATAAGAAGAATAGCAACCATAAAAGCAGAAAACAGCAACAACAACAAAAAACATTAGCCGCCAGTAGGCCAAACACCTCGTCCTAATCTGCTTTTCCACCGGCCAACAAAGGTGGAACTCGAAGGAAAAAAATCCTTGCACGTCTGTGTGTTTTTGCTGTTGTTGTAGATGCCTTCTTTACGAATTTTCCAACAAAAAGAAGTCGACTCGTGGAATTGCCATTAAAACAAAACAAAAAGCAAACGGAGAGAAAATATCCAACACCATCACCGGTCGGTCTTTAGACTTTTGAGAAAAGTTGTCAACAACAACAACAACAAAAAAGCGAACAAGAAGTAAAGTAAACAACTTGGTAAGTAGAGATTTTCTCTCTCTCTATATATCCCATGGATTATATCCACTTTATTGACTCAAAGCTATCTATCCGTTTGCCGTCGATGACAGAATCTAAATTTGTTTTGCAAAATTGATTACAAAAAACCGAAAAAATGGGAATTTTGTTTGAAGTGTTTCAAAGGCTAGGTTAATATTAACATTGTAATGCCCTCCCATGTGGGGGGAGGGAAGGGGCAGCGCAGGACATAAACTAGAAATATGAGTAATAACATTTTTATACACTGTAATACTTAGTAGGGTATTATAAGTTTTTTTTATTGTAGGCAATTTGTGGGCAGACAAAATAATTGTTGTAGACACACCTCCGTTGGCACTAATTATAGCCTTAGTAATGGCTAATAGAAAATATGTATTTCTATAGGCCAAAATGTGGCAGATTGAAAAAAAGTGTTAGAACCTATTTCATTTGTTGTCATGTCCCTACCTCTCGAAAAAAAATAATTTCCTATGAAGCAAAGTACCCGACATAGGCAATTTGGCCATGACCCAGGTCAGGTGCAAAAACTGCCAGTTCCTCCTTCACAAACGTACAAAATGTTGGATATTAAAAGTCGCGTGAAGAGGGTCTACTCAATATTGTACCTTCACTAAAAAGATACGTTTTTGAAAAATAGCACTTCAAATATGTTAAATAATTCTCTGAATTTCTTCAAACATCGAATATTGAAATTTTGTACGAAACCCAGTTCTGGTGCGTTGGTGTAAGATACGGCTGGGTTTTTTGAAATTCGTACTAAAAAGACACGAAAAGTACTAAAATGTACTATCAATCGAATATTTTGTATTGGGTAAACGGAAGGAGCTAGAAATCTGTAACATGGAATGAGAGTCACTGATGGAATGCAGGATTTTTGGAAATTCGCACTTTAAGGTTACGAAAAGTTCTAAAATGATACTAAACTTGTAAAGATAGGACCATTTGGTATAAGTGAAAGAACAGAGCTAAAAACTTAAATTTTGGTATAAGAATCAAGATTGGAAAGTAAGTTTGATATATGAAGGTAGTTTTTTTGGAAATGTGTTCTAAATGTGCGAACTGTACTAAATGGTACTAAATTTGGGACAGTTTGTTTTAGGGTGAACGGATGAAGCTGGAATTTTGAGAATTTCTATTAGATTCGGTGTTAGAGGTATGTTCGTAATAAAAAAAAGGTGGTTTTGGAAATGTGTACTATAAGTGTACGAAAAGTACTGAATAGTACGATGTTTGCCACAATTTGGAATTGGGTGAGGGGACAACGCTTAAAATCTGAAATTTGGCATTAGGGTCGCTGTTCATGTGTTGCCTGGTCATATGGAGGTGGTTTCCGAAATGTGTACTATAATTGTACGAAATGTACTAAATTTGGTATTGGGTGTAGGGATAGTGCTTAAAATCTGAAATTTGGCTTAGGGTCGCTGTTCATGTGTTGCCTGGTCATATGGAGGTAGTTTCGGAAATATGTCCAATAATTGTACGACATGTACTGAAAGGTATAAAATTTCGTATTGGGCGAAGGGATAGAGCTGGAATCCTTAAATTTTATATTGACGTTTCTGTTGGTATGTGGAATTGAGATTTGGTGGTGGTTTTTTGTACGAAAAGTACTAACTAGTACTAAATTTGGTATTTAGTGAAGGGATGAAGCTGTTTTCCTGAAATATGATATAGATGTCACAATTGGTGTCTGTGGTTAAGATATGAAGATGGTTTTTGAAATGTCTACTACAATTGTTCGAAAAGTACTAAATGGTACTAAATTGGGTATTGGACAAAGGGATAGAGACGGACTCCAGAAATTTGATATGGATGTCACTATTGGTCTCCTTAGTTGAGAGAAGGAGTTGGTTTAGGAAATGCGTTCATTAATTGTACGAAGTGGTACTAAATTTGGCAATAGAGGAATTTACAGAGCTGAAATCCTTAAATTTGATATTAAGATCACTGTTGGTATTTGGGATTGCGATATGAAGGTGGTTTTGAAAATGCGTACTTTGACTGTAAGAAAATATCTAAATTCTACTAAATTTGGTTGGGTTAAGGGATAGAGCTAAAATTCTGAAATTTGATATTTAAGTCACTCTTGGTTTCTAAAATTAAGATCTGGAAATAGTTTTGGCCAGAAAAATTGGATGTGGAACCATTGTGTAGGGTTTATCTGCTATACTCTTAGGTAAACTTCAAAACGAAAGATTTTTAAGACTTTTTAGTGCAAAAAGGATTCATTTTTCGTTTATAAAGTTTCATCGATTTGGGAGAGCTGAAAAGTTGGTCCGATGTAAACAGTTTTGTTTGGAAACTTTTTATAAGAAAAAATTTTTAAAATTATTTTTTGAAAATTCCCTAAGTTTATATAAATGTTGGACTTTTAAAATATTTTTTTTTCGAATACCTCAGATACAAAATCTTGTGTTTATAGAACATTTTCAAGAAGGTTCTCGCTTCTTACTAGAATTCACAGATTTAGGACTTTCTGACAAAATACCTGGATTTTGATTTTGATTCCAGGAACAAATATTTCAAATTTCATTTTTTTTTTTAATGTTTTGTATTTTTTTAAATAAATATTCAAGGACCATGGAAAGGAAAATTTGAATTGATTGATGTTATAGAAAAAATGTGGATTCAAAATAATCATTTCAAAATTATTTTGACAACATTTCGTGGACAATTTCAAAAACATTACGAAAGATGTTTTTAAGGACAATCCCATCAAAAATCGTGTCTAAAAATATCAACGATTTTCTGACCAAAAACCGCATACTTGTAATATTTTCATCTCTTAAAAAAAAATAATGTATTTTTAAGATTTTTTTGATGTGAATTTTTATTCATTTATTTTATTAATGACTATAGCCAGAAAGTATAGATAATTTCAAGAGCCTTGGAATTTTAATAAAAAGACAGTAAAAATTGATTTTAATTTTTTTTTCATTTTTTGCAAACAGATTCTGGTACCTCACAAAATTCAAAATTCGTCTGTTTTAATATTTATAGCCGAGAAAGATAAGAAATAAAAAACATATTAAGCTGACCATAAAAATCCAATAAACCCATATTGAATAATCTCAACATTGGTCAACAAAATACACTTCTAAAAATATATATCGTCTACTCAGTTTTGGGAGATATCACAAATGTCAAAACTTCGAACAACACTGGACAACAAAAAAATAAATTTGGACACAAAGGGGCTTCTAACATATTGTAGTGTTGTGGGGTATCACATGGTCGGCCCGCACGAGTATAACCTTTTTTTTTTTTTTTTTTTTTTTTTTTTTTGAATGACCTTCCATACAATTTTTATTGTGTGAGAGATTTCAATATAATATGTAATATGTTTATAACCCAACCAGTAAAAATGTTACGATAGGCTATGTTTGGAGTAAATCTAATTATCGCACACACAAGCGGCACAGACAGGATACCGGACTTTGAGTGATTGTCTCAAAATATCTTGAAACGGATTTCGAAATAGGGTCTCAAATGTGTCGGCATGAAATATAGAATTAATACTATAACATACCGTTGACTGCATGTTATACCTGCAATAGAAACAAGTTAAAAAGCAGTAAGTTCGGCCGGTCCGAACTTTTAATACCCTCCACCATTTGCAACGAATTTGGAAATTTTCAAAAAATAAAATCCTTAAAAAATTCTGTTAAAATTTTAAAAATACCGAATATAGCCGTTATATTGGGGTCTATACGACGTGGACATACATATGCATTGTTTGTCATAAGCCATTACCATATTCAAATTGGAAACTGGACTCGCACCGACAATTTTCTGTCACTGTAGTTCCCATAACGAACTTCAAATACCAAATTTTAAACAATTCCGGTTAATAATGTCTCTAAAATCATCAAAATACCGAACATAGCGAGGTGCCGTTATATGGGGGCTATACGAAGACGTGGACCTGCACAGACAATTTTCAGTCTAAGGGTGTAGTATCCATTTGGAACTTCAAATACCAAATTTGAAACAATTCCGGTGAATAACGTCGCTAAAATCATCAAAATACCAAATATAGGGGGGTTACCGTTATACGGGAGCTATATGAAAACGTGGACCTACATGGCCCATTTACGAACTTAACCTGCCTACTGGAAAAATAAACATGTGTGCAAAATTTTAGCCATCTATCTCAATTCATTCGAAAGATAGCGTGATTACAACAGACAGACAGACAGACGGACATCGCTAAATCGACTTAGAATTTTACGCTGATCAAGAATATATATACTTTGTTGGGTCTGACATGAGTATTTCGAGGAGTTACAAACGGAATGACAAAGTTAATATACCCTCCATAGTATGGTGGAGGGTATAAAAAAAAAACACATTTTCCTAATCACTGTGCCGATTTGTTGACCAATGCATCTAATAAAAAGTTGTCCTGTTGATAGGATAACACAAATGGGTATTAAAAAACCCCAGCAGGACAAATTGGGAAAAAGGTTGAAATCAATGATTTCTTAGCAACAGTTTGTAAAAAAGGATGTTTCTGTTTGGACTTTTGAATGGTATTAGCATTAAATAAAATTTACCCACAGTTGATACACTTCCGATACATTCTCTGGGTTGTTGTTTTAAACTTGGAAATTTGCCTCTTTTGGGTGACACACAATAATTTCTTTTTGAAGTGTAAACTTTCTAAGGACCTATACTTTTCTAAGAATTCCTTTTAGTCCTTCAAAAAATCTTGTGTTTTACAACAATTTGAACATTTTTTGTTATTGTGTGTTTTGGTAATTTCTATGGAAAAAATGGAATTAAATCAAATACAAAAAGATAACACGATAGCCTACAAGTTCTTCTTAAAAAAAATAGTTTGGAAGATTTTCCGTCATGGCATGAGATTTTCATCAAATATTTATCATAAATTTATGTAGCTTGAACTTGAATAAAGTTTTCATCAACGGCACACACACACCCTCCTTCTCCAGATTTATTTGAGATGTCACAACAGA